TACTATAACTTAATGTATATATACTATTACAGTTTTCATCAAGCCCAAAGGAAAAACAGAGGTGAAACCCACACAGTTCCTGGGAAAAAAAAAGAGAAAAAAAAAAAAAAACTGGGCATGATCTAATTTATTAATATTTAATGTAATATTTTTTAGGAAAAATGATCCCACCCTTCCCCAATCAGGCTAGAAAGTGACCACTATTACCTGTATCCTCTCTTTTATACCACCCACGCCAATCTTCATTGGACGTGCATTGGACTACCATTTATAACTGGACCTCATTACGTCATCCACCCAAAAATCTCCACGTACCTTCTTTTACATCACGAAACGCGGAAAATATTAATTATCACTGAAAGGGCGCTTTATGCATACATGTATGCCCAAACAGAAGTATATGACTGAATAAAAAAATTATGACATTTAGATTGGTCAATAAAATTTAAAAAAAAAAAACAGATAAATGAATAAATGAATAAAGGCTTGATTCTCTGTACTTCTCCACGACACAGCTTGTGTAATGCTAAAATAAGCACCAATTTTCAAACTGTGGATTGTTCCACAAAGTCAGACAATCCATGCATGAGTTAAACCAAGAAGTTGTAGAGTAGAACTTCTTGGTTAAGCAAAGAAACCAAGCAGGAGAAGCCTATTAATAATCTGGCTTTATGATTGTTTATATGTCAAAACGTCATCGACTGTGAGGTTCGCTCAAGGTGATGTAGGAAAAATCTGCCATTTAAATGTTGTGATGAATTTCATTATCGACCTGGTCCATCTAGACTTTAGGATACATAGAGCTGTTAGTCCCCTGTTCTAAATGAGGTCACATCATGTAAAAGGCCCATTATGTCGGATTTAAAACGCATTCTAAGTTCATGAATTACTTTTCGATGGATTTATTTGAGGACAATTAAAACTTTTTAAACAAAAATAACAGATGAATGGCCTTAATCAATATCACAAAAAATAATCATATTCATCGTCCCCTGCCCTACCTCTGTAGTCAGCCATCTTGGCACTGTTTGTAAAGAGCCAGAGTCACGACGCGAGAGTCTCGCGACATCTGTTAGTCGAGTCATTGAGCGGGTTTGGAATTTGGTTTTTTTCCAAAATTGTTAGAGTTCTGGCGATTGTCAGGAAAGGAATATGAAAGGTTGGTAAATCGGAGATAAATGTCGTTTTATCCCAGGATAATTCGTTAAATATGAATATGGCACGAACATCCTCATTTGTACCTTTAAGATGAAATACCTATTTAGCTTTGTTTTAACCCATATTAGCCAAATTTTACCTCAAATATTACCTCAGGATAATTCGTTAAATATGAACTTGGCACCTTTAAGATTAAATGCGTTGAGTTTTGTTTTAACCCGTATTAGCCAGTACAAACGAGCTAAATCAAGGATCCCACTGGGCGTTGCCTATACCCGTAAAAGCCACTTTTTATTTTCCGAAATACTTTTCATGTTCACAGTATGATCCGAGAAGCCCCCCCCCCCCCCCATTCCCCTGCCCTGACTCGTAAATGCGGTCTTTTATTCCTCGTTCTTCCTGAAACGAAGTCATTGTTGTTACACTCGGTGATTCGTTACTTTCAACTCGCCAGACTCGCATTTTGAATAAGATACCAATAAAGATTTATTTACTAGGAATTGTGATTTGATGATTTTATTTTTATATACAGACACAGATGTGTCTGTACATATTGCCATCGCCGTCGCCGTGCACTTTCAGCGTAAACACGATAAGTGGAAGACAATTTTACTTTTTGGCTTTTTTTATTTACAGAGCTGATGATTATTTATAAAACGCAGGTCAGGTTCGAAAATCAGCATGATCGGCCCACTATTGTAGAAGTTATACTGTTTTTTCACTTTTTTTTGCATATATGCAACACTGTAAACACATTTCCAGGAAAACCGATAAGCCAATTGTCATGAAACTCACTCAATCTTACTTTCAACGCATGTTCAGTTCGAAAATCAGCATAATCGGGCCATTATTTTAGAAGTTATGCTGTTTTTTCACATTTCCTCAGATTCAATTCTTAGGCATGTTAACAGTCTCATTATTAAACTAATAAGACACGTAAAAGTGTTTGTTTGACATTTCCTGCATCTTTACAACATTGTTAGTTGATTATGTAAAAATGATGGTAAACTTGTTATCGTGTATTGTGTAATAAAGTTTCAATAATGGAAATAAGCTCATATCATATTGCAGTTTGTCAGATTCTATCATTCACTATGTTCAGAATCTCAGAATGGAGGAAATTGGACATTTTTAAATGTTAAACACTGTTCTATTGATATTTTCCCATCTCATCAATTTTCTTAGTTGATCATAAAAAAATGGTTGTAAACTGTAAATTTTGTTTTATGTTAAAAATGGTTAAAAATGAAAAAAGAACAGTGCTGTCTTGTTTACATTTTGGCACTTTCAAGGTGTGACTTTGGAGTCCCATGGGCCTGAAAACCATTTCTAGTCACATTATCTGAATATCCATAATATTAATATTTTATTATTAAAAATTGATGGTCATTATGCTGTTAAACATTTTGTAATATTGCATCAAACTTTGAAGAAACCCCTATTTTGGGCACTGCTCCCGTGATGACCATTTAAGGAAAACCATGTACTTACTGTTCTCAAACTTACAGGAAAGAAACATGGGACTAAAATACAGTTTCAGTGGGCAATGCAGTCTGTTTGGTAAATTTTTCTGGCAGTTAAACAGTTTTTTGTGAAAATTTAATTTTTCACATGTTGGCATTTTCAAGGTGTGACTTTGAAGTTCCATGGTCCTGAAGACCAATTGAAGAAGATGTTGATGTTTTGTGTGAAATGTGAACAATTCTGATTTAGTACTTGTAGAAAGCCTACACAACTTGTATAACTTTTATTATTTTCAAGCAAAAATTACAAAGTTTGACAACTTTCACATTCATATATCTACCTAGATAAAAAAAAAATCAATTAAACACAGACATATGAGAGTTTTACTATGAAAGCGTCTCCTCTGTCTGTTATGAAAAAAGCACATTACAATACTGGTGTTAACAACTTTTGATTCAGAAACTACTTTGATCTACTGTATACGGGAATGTAATGCAGAATGAATGGAGAATCGTGATGAATAATTGATATACATTTTAAGGATAAAAAGTGTGAAAATTAAATGTTACGATGAAGTGCTTATAAAACTTAATTCGTTCTCGTATATCATAGGACTAACTGTATCAAATGAAACCCGTGCAATTAAGATAATATCTCTCTCTCTCTCTCTCTCCAGCAGTATCCAAGGCATATGGTCTCATACCGGTAGCTTGGAACCCGACAACAGGCATATACCAATAGATTGATCTTAATTCTTACATTAGCGACGGATGTCATACTTTTATAATAATAACTCTTCAAAATTTAAGTAAAAAATGTAAATATCAACGCCGCATAACGTGTAAAATTTAGACAGATTACTGGAAAAAATACCTTGCATAGAGTAGTATATTTTTCCTTACAACCAGTTCCCAGAAAAAGTCGTGCAACTAGAAAACGGATTGAGAAACAGAGGGGGGTATTAAAGAAGAAACACCAAATAAGCAAAAGAAAGGTTTATATACATAATAGTGTCATGGTCATGTTGACGTTTTGAGTGAAATTTGAACATATATCTTTAGTAGAAAGCCAACACAACTTTCAAAATGATTTACAAATGAATTTTATATTCAGTGTTAACCCCAATACACCAACTAACGCTAATCTGTACAAATCATATGGGAGCCCGCACTTCATTCTTACCCGGTAGGACGTCCATTCCTGTTACACTGCGACTGACTCGCACATCCTCTGTTATATATGTTTTTCCTGTAATGGTTATCAAACGCAATCTTTAGAAATCTTTTCTAGCAAAAAAAAAAAAAAAAAAAAAAAAAAAGAATCAATAATTCGAACCCGCGATCAAATTTCAAATGTGCATCAGCTCCTTAAATGTTCCTTGTGGTTTTATTTGCTGTAGGTTAACAGGCAATATATATTCCACTTGTGTAACTAAACAGTATACAGTGTCATTTATTTTTTTAATCCTAACTTTGGGGGTTTACAGTAAAAATTTGTCAACAGACCTCTGAATCATTTTGATTCGTTGATGAATAGATGATGTTATGTCTAATGATTACGTTTAACCGGAAAAAGCTAGAATTTTAAAATGCGCATGCGTAAAACCTTAAGATTTATTATCTTTCTGACGAAAATTACTTCCACAGATGAAAATCAGTCTCAAACATGCATTATCTTTCTACGCATTGCCGAACCAATCGGTAAATGATAACTCAGACGTAGGCCCCTATTTCACACAGACCACGAATCCCACGAATCGCCAGGAATTGACAAATTTCAGGATTCGTGAAGATTCGTGAGATTTTGCCAATTTTCTGGTCTAATTCGACACGCTCACGATTCAGTTACGATACAGGTACGATAGTGTTACGAATATTCGTGGGATTCGGCTGGAATCGTGAGATTTTGCCAATTTTCTGGTCTAATTCGACACGCTCTACGATTCAGTTACGATACAGGTGCGATAGTGTTACGAATATTCGTGGGATTCGGTTGGAATCGCACGAATATTGTCCAGAAATTCACTACGATTTTTTGGAATCGGGAGTTCGTGGCCTAAACTTTGAACAGCTCAAAGTTTTTGCCACGAATTCCCGATTGATAAAGAATTGCAATAACTGACTACGATTATATACGAATCTGTTAAGAACTTCACGAACTGATTACGATTCAACCACGAATCGTGAAATTTGTCAATTCATGGCCATTCGTGGGATTCGTGGTCTGTGTGAAATAGGGGCTTTAGGTAAAATCATTGTAAAATACCTCTACCAGTACATAACTTTGATGTCTGTTCTACCTGCTTTGATCTCTTCAGATTACAGGCGTGTGCACTACTTTAAAAGCCGATACCTTGACGAAGCTTGCACTGCACTTGAAAACGGTATTAATCGTTCAAACTGTGGAGGTTTTTCAATATTTTTGAGGCTGGCATAGAAGTGATCAAGGATTACTCAGGTAAAAATTCTGTCCAAGATATTTTCTTTAACTGCTACCTAGTTTTCAACGATGTCGATTGCCTTTTTGCACTTCGAGAACACCGAATGACATCTCAAGTCTTTACTGTCAGCGTGCCTCTGAAAGTTTAGTTTAGCTGCTGACAGAAGGGATGTGAGCTCTACTGTCTTCTAAGATTCCTTTTGCATTTGTGTCAGCTCCACATTGTCACTTCACATTTCAGAAGATGGTTTTCTTTGCCAATTTTGCATTAGTTGCGTTGTGTCTGGCAGCTTTAATACAACAAGCTGAATCCGACTGCTGCGGCGCGAAATTTAAATATTCAACTGTGAAAATCTGCGCAGACTGCACAAAGGTGAGTCTACTAGTACCGGGATAATTCCTCTCTAAGTGCATTCATAGCACACTCACAACACGATTGGTATCAGGCGGACTTTGCATTATAGGGAACATGACACCGTACATTTTAGTATGAATTTACAATAAAGCTTTAAGTCCATTTTTAAATAATCTTTATTGAGCACTACAATGCATACAAGTTACTTTTACAGGCTATCTACTCTAATCATAACAACTTTATAACAACTATACAAATCTATACCAATACATATGCAAATTATGGAATGATTACAGGGAACTAGCACAGAATAAAACGACTATTGCTATTGATGGGTGTTTTTTTTTCAAACTTTCAATTATATATAGATGTAAGGCTCTCAAGCGACAATTATTTCTCATCAGCTAGCAGGTATGTTTTGTGTTGTGTCATTTGTCACAGTCTCCCTCTTCTTCTGTAGTTTCTTTGCATTTTGGCACAGATTGCTTTATCATTATGGGGAATGAAACAACCAGAGCCTGCTTGTAGTTTTCCATCATTAAGTACAGTAATTTTGCTTACTTTGGATGTGAAGACATCACTTATTTCGTCTGTACTTGCATCAGGTTGAACACCAAGGATGTTGTAAGAGTCCTCCATCTTGTCTTCCTTTGTTTGTTTGTTCGAGATTTTCCCGGTCCACAGGTTAAGTGGAGTTTTTTCTGCATGTTTCTTAATTTTAACCTAAAGCTTTTAGGAAATCTGTTCTGTGTATCTTTAATTTTAATTTTAAAAAAATGTCTATTTTACACCTCTGGATAAGAAAGATCTTTGTGCAGTGGTTACTGTGCTTTAGGGCATAGTTTCACAGAGCACTTACAGATGATTGCAGCTGTCGGCCATCTTTTCTTATCTTCTATTATATTCATGGAGTTTATTGAAATTCGATGCGTTAATGATCGTCAGAAATCAATTGTGTACGTATGTGTGTGTGTCCGTGCATTTTATGATTACAGAAAGTGAGAGAGAGGGATATTAATTCCGGATTTACATTGCAGGCAACCCCTTACTGTTCATATGGAAAATGTAACATATTTGGCTGCAAATGTGAACGTTCATGTAGGAAGGACTGCGGCAGCGAGATCAAACCGTAAGAAGAAATCTCTCTCCCTCTCTCTCTCTCTCCGTTCAGAATAAGGGACTCACTAGTCCGACGGCCACCCACGCCAAAGCTTGCCGTCTAACCCGCTAATAAACATTGAATAGATACCACGTGGGAAAGTATTCAAGTGGGTCGGCCATATTTGAACATAGTAAGTCCCTAATTCTGAATGGGACCCCCTCTCTCTCTTGAAGATAGATATTATCCATTCAGAACATATTATACATAGGCCCTCTCTATTTCGAAGCCGAGAGTTAATCCGTTAAATGTGCACGTAAAGCCGAAGAGACCATCGGGGAATTAAGAGGATTACTTTCGAGCGGGGTCGGAGAATCAGTTAGAGCGTATTCAGAACAAATGATCTGCAAACTAACTGATCCGTGGACTAAATATGGCCGAACCCATCAAACAGCAAGCCGCTTAATCACCTGATGGTCTCACGGCCTCCACATGAGTCATCAGGCATTGCTTTTAAGTTGGTTAAATATATCCAATCCGCTGGTTAGTCCGCAGATAAACTTGTTCTGAAAGTGCTCTCAGTCCGTGGATCATCTTTCTTGAATGTGCTAGTTACCTATCTCTGCTACATTCACCCCGAGGCACTGCTTAAACTGTATATGTATGTTACCTTTTCTACATCTTCCAGCAGGGTCCTGTGATAATTTTATTACATAATAACAAGTTTCTTCTGGCTTTTCTGAACACATTCATTTTTTTTTTTGCAATAAAAATAGTAGTGGCGATGAAATAAATGTTTGTGAAAATAATGATTTACAATATTAAAAATAATAATAAAGAGTCAATATTAATAATTACGTCATCGCTGACATCTCTGGTACATAATATCTGAAAAATAATATGTTCACAAGAAATTAAGATCTTTGCATTATTTGTTTAGAGTGTCGACGACTGGGTGGTATTCAACGAAAAAACAAATCGTTGCCTGTGTTTGCAAGAATGGGAAAAGGGCCCCTAAGGATGTTGTGTTTGACGACATGGACGCCAATGATGACGGCAAGATTGACCACCAGGAGTTCGATCCTGATCTGCAATAGCTCTGATATATACGAGGATGAAAACCGCAGCACTATTTCCATCCTTATTTCGCATTTGGAAAATCATTGGGAATCGATCTTATGCAACAAATTAACTTACGAAATTCGAAATAAGGATTTGAAGTTATGTGAAACAATATTGCTTTTTATGTGAAATTCAGATACCAGAATACTGTTTATATGAAATTCAGATAGCATCGCAACAGGTATCGTTGTGTTTCATTTATTCATTATTATTATATACTGGTTTTTGACACAAACGATCTTGTTTCTAAATGCCATATATATATATATATATATATATATATATATATATATATATATATATATATATATATATATTTATATATATGCCTAAAGAGTAGTACATGACTGAATAAATAAAAAAAATATATGGCATTTAGATCGGTCAAAATAACAAAATAGATATATGAATAAAGAAATAAACGCTTGATTCCCTATACTTCTCGAAGATACAGCTAGTGTTATCCTAAAATAAGCACCAATTTTCAAACAGCGGAATGTTCCACAAAGTCAGACAATCCATGCATGAGTTAAACCAAGAAGTTGTAATGTTGTGCTGAAATTAAGTATCAACATTTTCCATCTGGAGCTTAGGGGTAAATAGAGCTGTTAGTCCCCTGTTCTAAATGAGGTCACATCATGTTAAGGGCCTACTATGTAGGATTTAAGACGCCATCGACTGTGAGGTTCGCTCAATAATGATGTAGGAAATATCTGCCATTTAAATGCTGTGATGAATTTCAATATCAACCTGGTCCATCTGAAAGCCAAGGGATACATAGAGCTGTAAGTTCCCTGTTCTGAATGAGGTCACATCATGTTAAACGCCCAATATGTAGGATTTAAATCGCATTTTAAGTTCTTGAATTGCTTCTCAAAGAATTTAGTCGCGGACAATTAACAAAAATTTAAATCAAAAATGCCAGATGAATGACCTTAATCAATATCGCAAAAAAAAAAAAAAATAAAAAATAATAATAATCATATTCACCGTCCCCTGTCCTACCTCGATAGTCAGCCATCTTGTCACTGTTTGTAAATAGCGGGAGTAACGGCGCGACAGTAGCGATATCTGTTAGTCGAGTCATTGAGCGGGGTTTGAACTTTGGGTTTTTTTCCAAAATTGTTACAGAGTTCTTGTGATTTTCAGGAAAGGAATAGGAAAGGTTGGTAAATCGGAGATAAATGTCGTTTTATCCCAGGATAATTCGTTAAATATGAATATGGCACGAACATCCTCATTTGTACCTTTAAAATGGAATGCCTATTTAGCTTCGTTTTAACCCATATTAGCCAAAACGAACTAAATCAAGGGTCCCACTTTTTATTTTCTGAAATATTTTAAACGTTCACAGCTTGATCCGTGAAGCCCCACCCCCATCCCCCTAAACTGACTCGTAAATGCGGCCTTTTATTCCTCGTTCTACCTGAAAAAAAGTTATTGTTTTTATACTTGGTGATTCATTACTTTCAACTGGCTTGGAACACTATGCAGCAATTTAAGAAAATATATTCGACACAATATTTACCTGAAAGATCCTTGTTTACTTCTCTGTCTAGATATGATTGAAAAACGTTCGACGTTTTACCTATTTATAGATTTGTCAAGGCATCGGCTTTTAAAGAAGTATTCACACCTGTATTCAGAAGAGATCAAAGATTGTAAAACGGACACCAATGATATGTACAGGTATGTATTACACAATAATTATACCCAAGTCTGGATTAACATTTACCGACAGGTTCGGCGATGTGTAAAAACATAAGGTATGTTTGAGATTTTCATTTGTGGAAATTATTTTCATCAGAAAGACAATAATTCTTTAGGTTTTACACATTCGCATTTTAAATTCTAGCTTCATCTGGTTGAACGTAACCATTAGACATAACATCATCGATTCATCAATGAATCAATTCAGGATTCAGAGGTCTGGTGACAAATGTTTACTGAAAATTCCCAAAGCTAGGTCAAAAACGTGGTGACACTGCCTTCTGTTTATACTGTAATTAGTTGCACCGTTGAAGTGGAATATGTTGTAACCTACAACAAATAAAACACAGGTAACGTTTAAGGAACTGATGCCCTTTGATATTTCTTCGCATGTTCAAATTCTTGAAAGCTCATTGATTTTGCTAGAAAAGATTTCTAAATATTGCGTTTGATTACCATAACATGAAAAACGTATAAGCAGAGTGTGCGTAAGTAAGTCGCCGTGTAACAGGAATGGAAGTCCGGGCTCTCTTATGTTTTGTACAGATTAGGATTAGTTGGTGTATTGCGGTAAATAAAATTCATTTTTAAATAATTTTCATCAACATGAGAGAGAATTGTGCAGTGAAATGAAGTTTGAGACTGGCGTTAGTTTCAACCGAAAATTGGAAGACGAAATGGATCTATTTTAGGAAAAGGTTCTTTAAATGGAAAGATAAATGTTTATAAATTTCCAAGACTGCCGGTATGAGACCATATGTCTTGGATACTGCTGGAGAGAGAGAGAGAGAGAGAGAGAGAGACGTTATCTTAATTGCGTGGGTTTCATGTAAGTAGTTCATCGTCACTTTTAATTTTCACACTTTTCCCCCTAAAAATGTATTTCAATTATTTATGACGGTTCTCCATTCATTCTGCATTGCATTCCAGTATACGTAGATCAGAGTAGTTTCTGAATTCAAAGTTGTTAGTACCAGTATTTTAATGTGCGTTTTCAGTAACAGGTGTATGGGACGCTTCCATAGTAAAACCCTCATATGTCTAAGCATTCGGTCCTAAGTTTAACTGATTTTTTTTCTGGGTGGAGATATGAATGTGAAGGTTGTCAAACTGGGGCCGTAGCGATAGTCCGAAGGTTCAATAGTCCGAAGGTTCATTGGTCCGAAGGTTCAATGGTCCGAATGTGCATTGAAGGTTCATTGGTCCGAAGGTTCGACAGTCCGAAGGTGCATTGGTCCGAAGGTTCATTAGTCCGAAGGTTCGATAGTCCGAAGGTTCGATAGTCCGAATGTAGGCCCGCTGTATAAGAGTATAGTGAATTACATGTACAGGGGCGGATCCAAGATTATTTGAAGGGGGGTCCGCGGATGCAAAGCCCCCACCCCCCTTGGCGTAGGATCTGGGGCCCGCTAAAGGGCCCCGAAAATTGTTGGTGTCTCAAAATGACCACCTATTTATCTAGAGACACATCTGTGAATATCTGTAAAAAATCTATCAGTCGCCCTGGTAGAGGGTTTAAAAGTTAGGTCTGCACGGGCAAAAATAACGTCAATACTAGCATATTACATTAGTTACAAAAAAAAAA